TTACAATATTTCTTGGTAACTAGTTAGAAATTTCATTATCAAGTTCTAAATTGTAGAGTTAGAAGAATTTTATAGAAATGTATTTAAAAATATCATACACTCAATATTAAAGGCTCACACAATTGTGAATAATACCTTGTCAGAGTCCGCCAAATAGTACAAGTTCTCATGCATTTGAACAGCTGCCAACAAAAACTCCAACTGAAGTTTTTCAGTGAAAGAGAGAAAAAAATCATGTTCAAGAAGCCCAAGAAAGAAATTACTCTTGATTTGGATGAAAAAGAATCTGAAGCAAATGAACTAAGTGATTAGATTTATAGACTGTTTTTATCTGATCTTGATAATTAGGAATATCAGATTAAATTCTTGAAGAAATGTCCTATAACCACTGAATAAAACCTTAAAATGATATTGTAGGGCTCTCAACATAATGAACATACTTACAAATATAATTAATCAAGCTTAACATTAGCCTGGAAATTTCAAGGAAATTTCCTGGAATATTCATATTATTCTGGAACTGTACCTTGCTTGGTGAAGACATATGTCTTCTAGAATATTAAAACTCCACAGATAAACAAATAATTAAACTTGTATTCGAGTTAGTTATTTCCAGTAAATAAAATTGATTCCATCTGTTTCATAGGAAAGACAAAGTAATTACTTGATGATCACATATTGCATACTATATATTTACATATGATTCTATACTAGTACCTAATATTATACATATATATGTAATTTATCTAAGAACAAGCACTCTGAAAGTGTTAAGTTCCATGAAGAAAAGGTAGGAAAAAAGTACTTAGCTAATGCTATTCAAATTTAACAAGTGGAGCACAAAGATACTAGAACTACTATAGCTACAGAAATTTCTTTCCAGAGTGAAAAGTTTCATCTTCTTTGCCTAGAAGAGGGAGCAAAGGCCTACATAAAATTGGTGACAATACACCAAATACAATTCCTTTTGATTTTTAATTTAAAGTTATTAAATTTCATTTATGAAGGTGGACACAAATAAAAATTATCTTTGAAAAAAAATCTTATCAAATATGTTAAGGAGATGCCATAACAATGTAAAAAAAGAAGATTAAACAGCACATCAAATACCTGTGGAAACCATGAAATGTCTTACAAAAGTCAACAACTGCTTATTTATTGTTATTTTGAGGCAGATAAGGGAAAGCACAATGAGAAATAAATAAGACAACACAGTAATTGAAAGAAAGTAAAAGACATCAAATATATAAGCATAACAGATAAAAGCAAACTAGAGTAAAGAATCTTCTTAAAAGAAAACAGATGACTACATATTATAGCACCTGGGGTTTATTTTAATCGACCTCATGTTTGTACCCCCTACATTTCTAGGTACATAATGTTTTACTTTGAAAGCATATCTTCTTAACAAATACACAAGCATCAAGAAAATAACAAAACCTATGGTATAACTTTTAACTTATTTGTCACATTTTGCTATTTTTCTGAAACATTTGTATAAAACTATGATCAAAAAAGTAAAAATAAAATTACTGCATCAACATGATAAATAAGTTTTGATTAAAGTGAAAATCTAACTTTCAGGCCCATATATCTCCCCATTAAAAACAGATTAAGATTACTTACTTTGAAAATAAGTGTAGGACAAATTATGCTACTTTGTAGCTAAGAAAACTAAAGTAAATCTACCATATGAGTTAGTGGTGATGAAGTTAATAACTTTTTAAATTAAAAATTGAACTAACAGCATAGCATTGAGTTTGGGGTAAAATATTGGTATCTTCTTTGACGTTCAAATTTCAGGTTCAACTTGGAAACTATGACTGATAAAAGATTTGTCCAGTTAATAGGACAAGCAACATTATAGTGAAGTAGATTGACTCTGAGATTGCTTTCCAATCCTCTCAACAACACTGTTCAAATCTTCCTGGTTTTGTTCAGACGGGATTTCCATATTTGTTATCTCTGAAGGGTAACTACTTTGAAGTTTGGAGACATTTGTGGGTGGGTAGTTTTTTTCTATTTGACTGTACATGTTAGATACTGATTTTTCAAGTTCTGCTAAATTTTTTACATGTTTGAGGACGCCTTTCGGTTCTCTTTGAGGGTCTGCATTACCCACTGCTTTTGATGTTGGTAGCTGCATCATAGCAGACTTTTCCTTGCAAGGTGTCAAGGTGGTAGTGCATTTAACAACTGGCATAGAAATACTCTGTGTGGACAGCACTGAATCTGAAGGAGGTCTACTAGTAGAAGGAAGTGGTGGTGGGACTGTGGAAAATGAAGAAAGAACAGGCGGAGTAGAAGGAAGACTGGAAAGTGGAAGAAATGAAGAAAGAGGAAGAGGAGAAGGGTTAGGAGGAGGCAGAGGAGGAAGGGAAACAGAAGGAGGAATAAGGAGAGGAGGTACAAGTGAATAAGGAGGAAAAAGATGAGAGTGAGGGGAAGGAGATGAAGGGCAGACGTTAGGTGGATGGGAAAGGTTTTCAGAATTGCTCCTTTTGGCTTCGACATCTAACATACAAGTGGTTGTCTCCCTTTTCAAGACTCGAGAATTTAAAGTGTAAGGCTCTGGAGAAGAAAATTCCAAGGAACAGTCATCAGGAGAAGTGATGACATTAGAGTCTGACTTGAGTTCCACAGTTCTTGAAATAGTTGGCAAAGTGGACCATGAGAAGTGAGACCAAGAAGAGGAAAATGAGGAGTCTAAAGACAGAGATTTTAATTGTTCTGCTTCCTGAGAAATCAGTGCTTCTCTTTGCCTTGTTTCTTCTTTCTCTGTCCAATTTTCCCCTTCAGTTGTAAGCAAGGGATTGCTGCTATTTTTGTTTGGACATGTTCCACTCTTTTCCTTGGCAGCTTTTTGCCAGGCGTCCTGCCAGTTTACCATATCTATGGTTTCTGGTCTACTGGGAACCTTCCACATCAGTCTCCCAGGTAAGCTGACTGACTGATTCCACATCCTCTGAATCTTTCCTCTTGGGCCCCTCAGAGACTGACTCTTGACTTGTGTCTGGGATATAAATGGGTTTTCAAAATCTGTTCTCAGTGTAATGTCTGAATTGGGTGAATTCTGACCTATATTTTCTTTGTAAAGGGGGTCTTGGCCACATAAGTTGTCCTCATCAGATAGAAATGCAAATTTTCTTCCAGGCTTTGGTTGGCTGCTTCTAAATGATCCATCTATGTGAGTTGGCTTGTGAGCCCCAACGGTATTGGAAGAAAAAGGCATCAAAACTTGCTGACTTTTCCTGTCTTCTGAGAGTGAGTTATTTCCCCTGCTTTGTTCAAAATGGTAGAGAAGGAAAAGACTTGAAAGAAAAGAAGATAATGAAATGTAAGGAAACAAGTTGTGACATAGCTTTCAAGAGAAAGGTGTTTTTATGGTTCTTATTTCTACTTCAAAATATAAAAGGCCAAACAATCTGAACCAAAACATCATTTTAAAGACCCTATTCTCAACAAGACAAAGCAAGGAAACCTTGAGAGTTGTAACATGAGAAACTTTCATTAAAAAATAATCATCAAATTCTAGATTTCTTTTCCAGTGATTTTGATACAGTCAAGTATCCAGGTCCACACATAACAGCCTAGTCATACATAAATCATATGTTTCAAATGCAGACAAGCACCATGGCTTCTGATTTCATATTTTTGCCTTGCTTGAGAATGGACAGAATCAACTATTAGGCATAAAAGAACCTTGGCTGTATCAGAATCAGTACCTTTCCATTATATCTCATCTCAGTAATTCTGTTCTGAAGCTAAAAATACTCCCTGATCTGAGACAAAATTTGCAAGAGAATATAGAATGGAATATTCCATTACCCACATGCAAACACAGCCTCCAAAGACACAAGTAAAAGGTATTATTTTTCTACAGAGTACAAAATCACAATTGAGAAATTTATGCCACAATCTGGAACAAAACTAAAATTCCTTTTGTTTAAATTTTAATGTTTAATCAATTATAATACGTTGTAAATTATACCAATCAGCAGAGGGGCTAATGATACTTTCTTCAAATATGACTAAGATCAAGTTTTTATCAACACTGCCTTTAATATATAAAATTTATATTGTTTTGATATCACTGAAAGATTTGCTCGTGCAGGTATGCTGAGTCACAAGGAGCTGTGAGATATAAAGAAGTTGAAAAGGCCAAACTTCACAAATTTTCTATGATAAGAACTGGGTACCTCACTCCAAAATAGCTGATTGCTCTCAAGCCCAAAAAGAATAAAATATTTAGTAATTATTTAATTTTGCCCACTCAGTAGCAATAAAATTAAAAGTAAAATACTTTGAGTAAAAACCAAATAGCCACACTGAAAAATTAGGGCAATAAATTAGGCAATAAAAATAAATGATAGATACAACTAAAATTGTTAATTTGCCATTTGGCAACTAGAAACTGAAAAATTAGGCCAATAGATAATGATACATCAATCTAAAATTGTTAATTGCAATTTGGCAGACAAAAACTTTAAAAAGGAATTCTCACAGTATTAGGCCTTGAAGTATTACGCCTTTTTGAGGAATTCAGATAAAAGTGTGAACACATTAGAAAAAACAAACAACAAAATTTTTACGTGTTCAGATCTTATAAAGTTTTTTTCACTATGTTTGAAATCATTTAACTTGACATCATGGTCACTGACTTATATAGATATGTCTTTGGATTGATTTTTCTGGGCAAAAGTGATCTAATTAATGATATCACATCACTTATTATTAAAAAAGATCTTTAAATACTGTTATCCAACTTAACAAGGAGCATTTTTAAATTTTTCTATGGTAGTCACAAGTAATATTACTGAAGTATTTGTTTTAAACTCATGCCATTTCTTTCAAGACATTGGAAAAAAATTGGTAGGGAAAATGAAACATTCTCTTTTAAATGAAACTGGTGAAAGATGATTACTGTGCTTAAGATCAAATGACACTTTATTTTATCTACTTTCTAATGCCCCTGTATTAGAATGATATTATTTACTTACTTATGCCTATGTATCCACAGGTGAGAAAGAGAAAACATGTGATAGAAAAAGAAAAATTTTAACTATAGTTAATTTGAGATGATTTTGAGAATATTAACAGGAAGTTTCATCAAACAATATGCACATCCAAAAAGAAATGCAGAGATTTAAATTTTTCTATGTGTTTATTCATAAGAATAATAATTCAAGTTGTTTTAGATAAAGTCATATGGTATTATTTGGGTGTTTTACCACATAAAATTTTATCCAATAGCTAGCCATCCACATACTGTATATCTGTAAGATTCAACTCTGTAAAATGTGAAGAATTCAATCCTGAAATGGAAATATTAAATGTAATTGCTTCTGTGCTTTAATTCTGCCTTATGATAATTTATAAAGATATATTTTGTGTGGAAGAAAGAAAATATATAGATACTGTGAAAACCATACAGAGCAAGTTATGGAAGTCATTACATTGTTCAGATTTTGTTTTTAAAATCATCATAGATTTTTTCTTTTTGATAATTGATAATTCATTTGCAGCTAGTTCATTTTATAATAATGTATCTTTAGAGTTATTATAAAAGTTTTGGAATAGACAAATATTTCTTAAAGATAAAATAATTAAATGTATAAAACATAATTATAATTATATATTCATAACATATACTGTTGCTATTTTTTTCAAAAAATTAATAGTAGTTAATGGTAACTGGTTTAAAATGAATATCAACAAGTTACAAATAATGTTACAGCATGTCTGCTATTTTAAAATGAATATATATCATTCACTGACCTCTTATATAAACACATTTAATTTTACACATTGTGATTTTTTTTTTTAATTTCTAAGCATTGGCATTGGGGGAACTGTTTAACATAATCAAAGAGAATCAAATCATACTGGCTCAATTCCTACATTCACCAACAATTCAAAAAAGAGATTATCATTTTCAATCATGAAAAAAGTGAGAAACAGTTTAAAGAATGAATCTTAAATCACTGCTTTAGTAATAAAATGGCATACAATAAACTGTAACAAATTCAGTTTCAGTGTTAAAATGGGATTATCAGTTTAAACGTTATCAAGCTTATCTAAAGAGTCTTATACAATATTATTAATACAAGAAATTGCCAAGGATACAGCTCAGTGGCAAACTGTCTGCCTCACAAGTGCAACGTTCTGAGTTTCATTTCGGGTACCAAAAAAATTAATATAACAAATTATGTCACCACCATCTGCTTAAGCCAGTTGTGACATTAAAAGGCACAATTCATGGTCTCTGAGGTTTGTTTTACCTAAACTAGCAACTGCTAAAAATGTAAAAGGTATATGCTTGAAAATCTTTACTTGACGAAATTTCAGCGAACAATACATTTTCTGAATTTACTCTGGCTACATTTATAATTTTATGATGCCCTTGGTTGTTTTCATATCATGTCTTAGAGTAGTTATTCTTGAATTTTAAAAATATGGACAATTTAACATCACCCAAAGGAATGAGATTATGTGAGTAGTATCATTCGACAGAAAGAGCTGTGGGATCTTTCAGTAAGTAAACAGTCCCTTTCAAAACATGTGGCTCAAAATTGCTTAGACTGCTCACAGCTATCCATTAGTAATATACTGAACCAGATTTCTGTAAATAGTTGTGCTTTTAGTAGATGAATTCTTGTATTTTCATTTGTATTATAATTAAAATTATATAATATCTTAAAAGATATCTCACAAAAGTTTGTCGTTTTAAACCATAAAATTTGTTTTTGAACACCAAATCAGATTTGGTTTTGATTCCAAATTAGAACTATTATTTATGATTGTGTTTTATTCTCAGCTTCTATGTGAAAACAACGTAAGATAAGTACTTTTTTTTCAAGCTCTATATATTTTTCGTAAAAATATCCAAACATGAAGGTTAGGGAATTAAGCATAATAATCTGGTTTTATATCTGCAATTGTTTCTTCCAGTGAATTCCAGTTTTCTCTTAAATTTCTTTAATAATTATTTGGGTCTTGCTATTACTTTACCTTTGTTAGGTTCTCAGGCTAATTATTTTTCTGTCTAAAAACAAAATCAGACGTCAGGAGGGAATTAAACTCACCATGCACTTCCCTTTAAAACCCACCTCCTGAGTTTCTAGGAGGAATACTTACATGGTGCTGTCACCCAGTTCTTCGTACAGGTGCGCGCCTGGAGGCGGGGGCGGGGGCGGGGGCGCTGCCATGGGCACTGGGGCAGGTGCTGCTGGTTTTGCTGCAGGTAAAGCGGATTGAATTCGTGCTGTCTTGGTGCACTCGGCTTGGCGTCTTGGATAAAGGAAGATTGTTTTGTAAAAATCTTAGAAATTGTAGATATAGCAATAGGTTGTCTTTGATAATGAAGTCGAATTATCAGACGAATCCAGTTAAAAATACTTGAACTTAACTGAAATAAGGACACACTCATCTTCACAGTATCATTTACATACCCCCCCTCAATTCTTTAAAATATTTATTTCATGAAGAAGGCTCAAATGCAAACATTTGCAAAGTAATGATAATATTAAAGTTATAGTAAGAAGTTCTGATGCTCTACTATTGTATACTAGGATAACTAGAGAGCAATACTGTAGTGTAAATATCCAAAAGCACTAGAAGGGTTTTGATGGTTTACATCCAGAGGAACTCTACACTTAAATAAATATTTACCTTGAATTAACATTGCCCAAAGGATACATGCATTGGTTTTTTGTTTGTTTGGTTTGGGTTTTTTGTAACCAGTACTCAAGCTCATGACTTAGTCCTTGCCAGGCAGACACTGTGCTGCTGAGCTGAGTCCCCTACCCTGCATGTATTGTAACATCAAACTGTGTCCAAGAAATCATGTTCAATCTTTGTCAATTAAATACATTAAGTAAATTATAAAATATGAAGAATAATTGGTAGTTGTTTGATGAACTTTTTTTCATAAAATGAGGCACATTCAAGTTCATTTTCCTTACTTGCCTTCCTTCAGAAAAATAATAAATAATATTAATAAATAAATATTTATTTTGTAAATACTTAAATATAATATTCATAATAAAAAATAATATTTAAAATAAATATTTATTTATTAAATAAATAATAAATAATATTGATAAGTAAATATTTAAATATTCTTGACTCTACTTCAGAGAGTCTGTGTTCACTCGAAGGGGAATTTGGTCAGTTTTCATGTCATTTTTATCCCTAGGAATATTTGCCATTCTTATTCCAGAGTTTACCTGTTTTATTTAAATGTCATAGCTGATTAATCCCTCCCTCAAATTCAAGACCTCTCAATGCAGAAATGATTAGAACACACTATTTCATATTTATTTCACTTATATCCAAAACAAGCTTAATTTTATAGACATGGGACCAAAAATTATATAACTGTTACACACACCTGACAAACAAACAACGCATATTTCTGGATGCGGTTACTATTGAATCAATATGATTTATACTTTTTTCTTTTTCTATTACATAAAATTAGGAGAAAAATATTCACAAGTATACTTACACTTTAAATCTTTAGGAAAGCAATGAATAGGAAAAAAGAGAAAAATACATTAGAAATATGACACTCATAATATTTTAACGCACAATTTATTCTAAATTATGAATAATTTACTAGTTAAACATAATGACCCCGAGTTAATGACAATAGGAAAATGAAGCATTTGAATTTGGAAAGTGAAAATAGGGAGTACTTTATTATTTCCATTATAGTCATACAAACTTAAAACATTCATTAGAGAAAAATAAAGGAGTGAACTTAATGTAATAAGAAACCCTAATGTTCTGATCTTTATAATTGGCTTATTAGTTAGCGGTACTTGAAGACTATAAAGGGAATAGAGTTAGTCCTGCATCAAGCCCTGGTTATATTCCTGTCCTCATTTTGAAGCTGAAGCTATAACTGGAAGGTATCAATCTGGGCTAATGAATTCATCACACTTTTCTTTATATTCGCTTTCCAGTATTTTATATATAACAAATTTTAAAGACATATCATAATATACAAGTCATTCATTTGTATCTTATTTACAGGAAATATATGAAGCAACAGACGTTAGATTTTTAAATATTAGAATTTTGTTTTCATATATGAGTAAAGCAAAATTCATTTTTAAAAATTTTCTTAATCTACGCAAACTGAGAAACAAGCGTTGATAGTGAACTAAGTTCATACTAAATGCTTAAATATTAAGCATCTTAATATTTTTGTTAAATTTCACACTACTGAGTATAAAAGCTAGGGTGCTTCAGTTTTGATCCTGCATGGTTTGCCAAATATAAGAATTTTCCTCTAAAATTCTTTTGCTTTCAGAATATATGTAAAATTTCTTTGGGAAACAGCTGAATGCAATGATAAGTGGTATTACAGAATATATGTAAAATTAATATTGCAGTAATTAGTTAATAATTTAAAACAATTTGTCTGTTTTCTTTTACCTTTAGACTTAGCCAATCAATTGATTAGTTAAGACTATACAAGACTCCTAGGGGCTGGGGATTTAGCTCAGCGGCATAAGCACCTGCCTTGCAAGCAGGCAGTCTTGAGTTCGATCTCCAGAGAAACTCCAATACATTAAAAGTTATATTTGAAATTTCACATTACTTTTGAGATGAAATTAGCCCTATGATGTTTTCAAGCACATATGGTATAATCAAATCACACAGCAAATACTTAAATTTTAAAAATATAGTAAAACACTTATCTTCATTAATGTCCCTCAAAATGTTATCTCTCTATTGAACATTCTTGCCACTTATCCTTCTTGTCACATCTGTATATAGTTTTGGGTTTTTTCCTTCACAAGCATCCTTCAGACTTGATCAAAGATATGGTGAGTGCTGCTGCCCAGTTCTTTCCACTGAAAGAACTTATATAGTATATTAATGTGTCTTCATCTACCTTATTCATCAGATCTGACGCTCTGCAACTTCTAGAACTTCCCCAAAGTCAAAATGACTACAAATGGCAAATATTTTGAATAAACGGAAGACACTGAGGCAGCCAGGACAGCACAACTAAAGATATATACAAAAAAGTACTTCTGTACCACTGCAGAAAGTGGCACTAACATGGTGATAGATGTATTTGAAAGGAAGTATTTTTGATAAGCAAGATAACAACATAAGAATACTTTTGAGAGCAAAGATAATAATGTAAGAATATATAAGAAATATTTTAGTATTCTCCCTGTAATATTTTTAAGTGAGGAAACACAGTTGTATCATATTTCTTACTGTTAATTATACTGAGTAATTTATATGATTTATGTCATCTATTTCATAGTTTCATTTTATAGCAACCTAATATTTATTTCTCTTCTTAACCATCTTCCCATTTTTGACTCATCCATAGATACATTAAAAATATATAACCTTCAGTCACAAAGTTTCCCATACTTCACATCAAATAAAGGATATCAATAGTCCATATGCATTATAAGTATTTAAATTAGTTATAATGACTAGTTTACTTTGCAAGGTCAAAGTTGAATTTTTAAAATACATAGATATTATGAATAGAAGTATCTGACTATAGGAAATGGACAAACATAAGGTTGTATACTCTTAAAATATAGGATCAGATACAGCAACACATGTCGGAAACTGCTCAGGAAGAAGATTTATGGACAATCATGCAAGGTGTGCTGTGATTTTGCAGTGATTTTGGTAACAATTTGGTCACCTATTCAGAGGTCAATATAATTGTATGGATAAAACCTATCAGGACAATATGACATTCCATTCATTTTTCTTCTTCCTACCAATAATCTTCTCCTAGAAGTTCTTAATCAGAAGAAAATGAACAAAGAATGAAATAACCTGGCACACTTAGTGGGTGAGAGCACATGGACTTCCAGTTAACTATAAGCAATGCATTGGAAGTTTGTATTATCATCTGTCATTTTGAAGAAGGTAATTTAGAATAGTAAAGCAATCCCTGAGTGGTTGCACTATCAATTTATTACTACAGTGACAAAGCAATTATCAGAGATAGTTCTGGAGAAGCTATGCATGTTTAGGACCCTTGGGTACTTACTGTCGGTAGCTGACTAACACTACCAAGATGGCGGGAATACAGCAGAGGATGATGATGAAGGCCAAAGCCAGCAAGGCCCCTTCAGTGTATCCCAGGCTTTCTCCTCTCTTTTTAATGCTGGTCACTGCCTCTGGTGTTCGGATCTCCAGTATCCGTCCTCCTTCCCCATAATGGGGCTGAAAGTCTTTGTTGATATCCAGCAGCTTGCCATCCAAAAATCTTTATTTTTAAATGAATAGTGAAATTAATAATGCCAGAAAAATCCATTTTAAAATAAAATGCTTTTGTGAAATCTTTTAATGTTTTCATTAACAATACAAACCCAGTCAAGAATAAGAAATGTATAAGCAAAATGAATCTTTAATAAAGAGTACATATATGACTGTAAAACACAAATGTCAAAGATATTAATGACAACAATCTTCTCATAGTTACAAACTAAAGAAAACTGTCAATATCATTGAACATAATGTCACCATCTTGACATAATTTACATTGGTAAGTTATTCAGAGAGGGTAAAGTACAATAGTCCTAAATTACATGGCACAATTTAAAATCATACTCATGTATTTTGACTCTTTTTACCATTGAGATAATGTAAACACAGTTGTTTTCAATGCTAATTTACAGCAATGTGGAAACCTCTATAAAGCTCTTAACCAGTATTTGGTTTCCATTATACTACCTTAAACGACTGTAGTCTCCAAACTGAACTTGAAACAATGTTTTGACATAAAAAGAGAATCATTTTTTTTCTACCTAGGAAAAAAGAACTACATAAATGATGCAGGTAGCATATCAGAATGACAGAAAATAGCAATAATTTAATCACAAAATTCTTGCAAATCTTTCTTCTAAATAGTGCAAATCCAATTGTGAGTATTGCACTGGGAAGGAAAAATCAAGAAGCAATAATTCTATATTACTACTTTAGACACATTGATATATTTTTATACTATAATTATGAAGTTTAATTTTAAATTCCTTGAGAATGTTTGAGAAATCCTTATAAATCCCAGATACTGATCCAACAATTGTATTCTTGATAGCAAAGAGCAGAAGTGTGTTTTATTTTTAATTTTGAGATTTTTTATTATGGTCAAAGATCTTACCAAAGAAAATGAAAAATACAAAGAAGTTCAAATATAGCAAAAGTACACATAGTCTGTGAAGCAAAGACAACTATAATTATTGTTAATGTCTTCATAAATTTAAATAAAATGTTTTGGAATTAACAAATATTTCTATTATATGTGTGATTAAAAAGCATAAAAGTGTTTTTAAAATGTATTTTAAATTATATTTCTCAATATCAAAATAATAATTTTGTGGAAAACACAAAGAAAATCTTAAAAGGCCTAAATTTCATTGTAATCCCCAATGGCAGTTGCTAGAGGCAGGGGAGGATAAGGGGATTTTGGGGAAAGGCTGATTCATGGGTACCAAGTTATGTGACAAGGAAGAAATCCTATGCTATGGCATAATAAACTGGACAACTGTAAAATATACCTAATAATAACATTATACATTTTAAAAATTTAGAAATATTTTACATATATTTTTAAAAGTGCATAAAGGATACTTGATTATATAAAAACTTTATATAATAAAGTATATGACTTTATATAATAAAGTATACTTTATATAATAAAGTATATCATTTTTGAGAGAATATCTTTACCTTGTTTAGATGTCATATATTTTTATGTTTTGTTGTATGATTCTATGTTTTTATCAATTAAATGAAGAAAAAGTAACCAAATGTCAAGCTTTAACACTTTTATAGTTAATTTTAATTTTCCCTTTTTGACATTTGGTGCTGTAATATTAGAGTGATCATGGTTATGAATTTAACTAATACCTGTTCAAAGCTTTTGTATAAAAAGGAGTGCATATTATTAGATATGAATTCCACTAGATAGTATTCTAGCTTAAGAACCCTAGTGATTCAGATAAACCAATTTTATTTTGAAGCCATATTTGTTTTTAACTTACATTTGCATATTACAACAAGTAGAAACTTCCACGGCTTTGTTTTGCTCTACAGATCTGCTTGTGGGATGAAAATTGTATTTCTTACAGTAATTTTCCTACGTGATTGTCAGAGGTTGAACAATATAAGTTTAGCAATTTTGGTTGAATTATTTATCAGACAAAGGAAATAGATTTAAAAATTTTATCAAAATAAATATATTATTTGAATTGGGAAGAATCAGAATGAAAGAATGTTCAATTGATTTAGGGAAAACTTATTTCTACTATGCAGAATTTATATGCAAGAATACAATTTACTGTGTTTCTGTATTTTATGTCCAAATCACCGAAGGAAGATTTGCTAGTTGTTTTATAATCAACAACTTCATTTCTTAGAAATAAAATCTACCTGATTTCTCAGTTCAAGAATGAAACTATGATGTAATTATTTATAAGAAGAGCTGACAGTTTCAAGCCCAAAGCTAGGCTAAACTATAGTGAGATTTTTGGTGAATATTTCTGCACATTCACAACAACTTTCCTAGCTAAATACTCTTGAATTGTGACATCTTTTCCTTAAAATTTGGTGAATCTGGTTATATTGTTTTGGGCAATTTATCATGCACATAAGATGTGCTTTGTACTGCTAGGAAAACAGAAAAAAAAATTTTTATTGTTTCTTTTTGAATGATTTTTATTTTGTGTGTGCTTGCTTGTTTGTTCTTTGGACAAGGTGTCTCTATGCCATCCAGGCAGGCCTTGAACTTACTAGGTAGTCCAGGTTGACCTCAAAATCCTCCAGCCTCAGTGTCCTGAGTACTAGGATAGCAGTGTTTGTCACCATATTTGGCTGTGTAAATTTTGATACATTGAAAATAGCTAAGTATGTACTTTGGTGGCAGGTTAGATTACCAGAAACCATTCAATCTCAAACATTTTTCATCGGCTTCTGTACGACAGGAGAAAAAGCAGAAAGGACAAGGATAAGAAATAATGATTTAAAGCTAGGAGACAGGCACAATTCATTACAGTTTCCCAGAGATCTATCTCACCATACAAAGCACCTAGAGATAGAGGGGAGATGGGACAGAACACCCATCCCTAGAGCTCAGCGAACGTCCAACAGTCCCGGGAAAGAGCCATAAAAGCAAAAATTTCACTACACTTCTAGGAGCAGTAGGAAGTGTGTTTGGGTCTAAGATCCTCCTCACCAATATAACATAAGTTTACTACTAAAGAGGAAAAGTTAGAGAACTTCATTAGACTCAGAACACATCCAAATATGAAACAAAGTCCAGCTGCCTTGGGAAAGGGGTGGAGACAGACAAAGCAGCAATCAGAGGCCTAAAGAAGTCTAGACTAGAAAAGGAAAGGAACCTCTTCCCCAGACCTCAGCTCAGAATAAGATTAGAATTAAACTACTTGGAACACTGTCCCACCTCTCCAGGAGAGATGAAGTGTGAGGAAAACTTATCCCACACACACACGTGCAGACACCACTAAGTGCCCTCACCCTGTATTGTAAGAATGTGGGGGCAGTAGCCCAGCAAAAGCATAACTGAACCATGTGACTACAGTGAACACAATGAATACAAAAACGAAAATTCAGGGGCTGGGGATTTAGCTCAGCGGCATAAGCACCTGCCTTGCAAGCAGGCGGTGGTGAGTTCGATCCCGGTACCGATAAAAAGTTAAAAAAAAAAAAAAGAGAGAGACAAAACAAAAACGAAAATTCAAAACCAATTCGCAAATACATTTATTCAACAGAAGTTTTATATGTCCATTTATGGGTACCATACTGTTCTTCCACATGTTTGGCATTGTAACCAATTTTAAAGAAATACTAGGGAAAAAACACAAAACAAACAAAACCAAAAATACTATTTTTAAGAGATAAATAAAATGACAGAACCTACTCATGATAACCGAGATACTGGAAATATCTGGAAAGGATTTTGGTACTACTTTGGGTAATACATTACCTAAGGCAGTAGGAAATATAAAATATATCGGAACCAATGCACAGATTCAGTAGAGTGTTGGAAAATGTATGAAATAATCTAATGGGAATGCAAGATATTTGCACCTAAAAAGATACCAAGGTAAAGATATTTCTTCAAAGAAGCCAGGAGTTTAGCTCTGCAGTGTAAGTGCCTGCTTGTCAAATGCGAGCTTGTGAGTTTGAGTCCGGATGTAGAAAAAAAAAAAAAAAAAAAAAAGAGACTTTCTTCAAAGAACTGGTGAATAGGTTCCTCCCCGTGAATCTTTAAATTTTAAAAGAAAGCAAAAACAATTGCCAAACTAGGGGTGCAATTTAGCCCAGTGGCATAAATGTCTGCCTGGTAAGCATGAGCTCCTGAGTTTGATTCCTGGTACAAAACAAACAAACAGAAAGCAATAAACCAAGGAATGGGGAAAAAAGAACATCCAAAAAACTATGAGAAGAGTTAAGATTATAATTGGAATCCTGGTTAAAAAATTTTTATAAAATGGTAGAACACAAAAATATTGAAGATATTCAATTTTCCCAGAAAAAAAAATTATTTGCTAAGAAGACTTCCTTTCTCTAAGTAGAAGCTCGTGGAATTCTTGTTGAAAATCAGCTGGATGTAAATGTGTGGGTTTACTTTTGTTTCCATATTTTGTTCCATTGCTCTGTTAAGCAAACATGCTGTTTTGGTTACCAGTTGCTTTCAGAACAGTGAATTTTAATTCAAGCTGAGTGATACGTCCAGCTTTACTCATTTTGCTTACGGTTGCTTTGGTTATCTGCATGTTTTGTGGCTTCATACTAATTTTAGGATTTTTTTTTCTATTAATGTGAAGAATGTTGTTGCTATTTTTATAGATTACACTCCAGATGAAGATTGTGTAGGATAATAATGATATATTAACAATATCAATGCTATTTTTAAAGATAATTTTAAAATGTGTTCAGAACAAACAAATACATAGAGACAGAAAATAATTAAGTGGCTGCTTGATACAAGGGTGGGCGTCCAGGAAAACAGGAAATAACTACAAATAGATATGAATTTCTTTTTTATGTGATAAAAATGTTCTAAAATTGATTGTGGAGGTGGCTCTACAACTTGGTGAATTTTCTAAGGAACACTGTGTTATACACTTTAAATGAATGGATTGTAAACACATGAATAACATATAAGTAAAGGTGTTTAAAATGTTTAGAGATAATGTCTGAGAACTTCCTGGTAGGAAAAACAAATAAATGAACAAAAATGTGAATTCCTTGAGCTTAGATGATCAAAAGGAGATAAAAACAAGAATAAGAATGTGCATTTATTGAAGAAAATTAAGCATATCACATATCCAAATCTAAGAAAATTCAAAATAGCACCAAGTGTGCCCCCTAAAAAGTAAATTATCAATATGTCGATGAACCTCATTCTAAACCAGGTAATGTGGGACATACCTATAATCCCAGCACTCTGGGAGACTGAGCAACAGTATCACAAATTGGAATCCAGCCTGGTTAAAAAAGTGGCTTAGGCAGACTCTCTTTCAAAGATTTTATTACAGAAAAGTTGGGATGTAGCTCAGTACGAAAGCCCTGGATTGAATCTACAGGTCCAGATATTGAACGAATGAATGAATTACATATATATCGGTCTTTGCCAGGGCTTTACAAGTTATTTCATGTATTTAAAATCATTTTTAAAAATCTAAAGGAACTTCCTAGAGTAATTATGATTGTTTCTTCTAATTTTTCTGGCCTAAAGGATTCCAACATCTTCGCAATGTTAGATTTCAGGATAAGGAAATACTGAGATAATAATCCTGTTTCCACGGGTCCAGAAATTATGCAACAACCAAAATATTCTGATATACACGTTTAATGTTAAAAACTAAACTTTACATAACTTTTATTGCTGCAGAATACTTGAAAATGTCTGTGTATCTTCAGTCTTGGAATATACGTTACAAATTATAAATCACAGAATATATATAGTATATTTATATTTAAATTCTTGAAACAATTTAAGGCTTTAAATTATATCAGTATTTCTCAGCTAGTGTTTCAAAGTGAAAACTGCTAAGGCAAAATCTTAATAATTTATGACTACTCTCATTTTTCTCAATATGAACTTTTTTAATCAACATTTTCTTTTGGTTGATTCCCACATATGTGAATACCAAAATATTTTCCAACACATTTTAAATTTTAATCAACACCATTTTCTCTTGCAAGCTGGTGAACTATCCAAAAAATGTATGTTTTTATATTTAGGCAAAATATTCTAAACTCAATCTGTTATCAAACTTAAAAAATTATGTGAAAAACAATCTTGGAAGTCATTTTAACAGAGAAGAAAAGTGTAAATAATAGTAATAAAACATATGAATTACTTTTTAAGTCTAGTCCTACATACATTTTTTGAAATTAATATGATTTATATAAAATTGGCTTGATGTATCAAATGCTATTTCATTTGGATGGTGATTCTTGACTCTCAGTGTTTCCACATATTGATTATATACTGTGTTGCATATGCCCCAAAAACTACACAAATAAACTGATAAATAATATATTTAGTGACTATGTCTCTTTTAAAACTATATTGTTATTAAATCACTATGTCATTGTTGAACACATGTAAAATTAATCTAAATTCAGAATTTACAGTTTCTGTTACAAAATGAATAAATACATAATTAGGAAATTTATGAATACACATATATCAATATAGTATATATGTAAATTTGAGCATGACAATATTTATATGGCATTTAGTATGTAGGCAGAGAAAAAATAAATTCTGAAATTATGAATTTTAATACATGTGCATATATATACCTATTTACATATCTGTAATTTTCAAACATGAATACTTAAAAATAGAATTATTTTTCAAGTATCTGATGGACACTAGCAGTCTCTACAAAAAGTAAAAATTTAATATATTAATTTTTTAAATCTGAACTAGAATAACACAATGAATAATATTATTTTAAGATTTTCCACTTTTGTTTTTTAGAATTTACACCTCAAATATTTAAGTTCACAAAGGATGAAATACTGAAGTGTAGAGACTGAAAGGAAGTGATTACTTTCTGTCCTTCACTCTCAAGGGAAGGGGAAAATCAGATACTATGTTAGCTAGTTCAACAGAACTATACAAAAGCTGCGCTGCCTCTTAATATTATAGCTTACTATAATTATTGCAGGTAAACGACCACTTTCAGAGTCTGTATTTCCGCTCAAATGGCCAGAACCCTGGAGCAAGAATGATGAAATAGTATGAAATCACCTCAAAGAGCTCCTCCTTGCTCACAAACCTGAGACCCTCTGCTGCCTAAAGAACAGACCCCCTTCTTGAAGTCACGCTGATCTATGCTTACACCTGAAAATAAGTATGAGGGCCATGAGTTTTGTCTCTGGTTTATTGCTTATACTTCGTCTTACCATATTGGGGTGCTTTACACTTTATTTACACTCAAAGATTTGTACTGGAATTACTTATACGTTTTATTGTAATTGAAGAGCTGCTGCAGGTAACAAAAAGTACTTACTTAAAAAGTTCATTTCTGTCAATAGCTCTGTTGGTTTGGGGATCAATTGCATAGACAGTCAGGTCACATTTGGTGTAGTCCTCTAGAGAAAAAGCATCACCATGCCTTCGAGCACCAATAGACTCCACTACCACCTTGGCACCAGGGATTTGCTCCTGAACATAGCGATCCAAGATCCTATAAATCGAAGAAAGTACAAACATGACTTTCTGATAGGCTTACTGTGAAAAAAAAAATCACTCTGAACTTGAAATAAAGTTTAGAAATGAAAAAAATTTGACAGCCAGGTTTTTGCTGTTTACTGAACATGAACCTAAGAAAAGAAATCTCTCTCTCTCTCTTAAACATTTAGATTCCAATAATTCTGGAAACCACACAAGATAAAAAGAGGTCATCAACTATGTTCTATTTAAATCCAGAAATTTTGAATTTATATCATTTGAACTTTGATGTGGCTCGTGGGAAATGCCAAATATGTTGCACAAAATAAACTATCTACACTTAAAAAGAATCATGAGTCCTTACACTATTGACTTTGCATGGTGGAAGTCAAAAATTACACCTCCCACCAGGAACTGTAATATCAGGCACATACCTACATGCTGTGATCAGAATTAGGATACCTTCTTTACAAAGGATATATAGATCGTTAATGTATTTGTTTGTTTTTTTTTTGTCTTTTTCATTTTTATCGGTACCAGGGATCGAACTCACAACTGCCTGCTTGCAAGGCAGGCGCTTATGCTGCTGAGCTAAATCCCCAGCCCCCTGAGCTAAATCCCCAGCCCCTGATCGTTAATGTATTGTAACAGTAAGTGAATGTGTATATATGTCACAAAGGTAAGTTTATATTGTTAATAAGTATATCACACGCAAACCACAGAACATATTTAGATGAATATGAATAACTAAAAGATATACTATCTTATACAAAGTATGTCTATTTGATACCATAGAGAAATATTAAAAGGTAATTTCTGGAAAGCATATTTTTTCTAATTACATTATTTGATTTTAATTGAAAATATGAATTATTACCAGATAAATATTTGTTATTTAAATTTCTACAGCTTCCTTAGGGTCCTTTTCCTTATTAAAATAGAAAATATATTATTTATAAGTATTTAAATGCAAGGTAATAAATATGAATTTATAATTCTACAAGGCTGTGTAACAAATATGTCAAAATTATCTTTAGCTTTGATACTCCTTTTGGTGTCCATCTAGTTTTTTTCTAAGGAACAACATATTCTAAATTCTGTTAATACAACTGAAAGTAAATTTGCTTTAGATTTAAATTGACACACTTTCTTCTCTGTTAAAATATTTTCAAGTATTTGTTTGGCTGGCCTTTATTACAAAACCAATCAAGATAATAAATTTGGAGGAGATGCCAGAGGACAGCACCAGTGATAATGAAATATTTTGTCCATTTGCTTTTGAAGTTTTGTGGACCAGAAGAGTTAACGGGTTCTTACTGAAGTGATGTCTATTATTTTCCTTTACTATCATAATGCCATAATCATTACTCTCTTCATGTTACAGTCCTTTTTTTCTGATGAGATATTTGCAGAAAAATAAAGTTTCAGAAAACAAGAAAGTTGAGTAAATTCACTTTGCAAAATTCATGGACATAATGGGATACATAGACTCATGTAACATTATTCAACTCATGCTTTATGATGCTTTTTCTGAAAGACTTATTCTCACTTATAAAAATAAGAAAAATAAGAAATAATACTCATGATAGTTCATTTGTACAAAAATTAACCACAGAGCATCAAGAGCACAGGGTTTTGATTTTGGTCTTCAAAGTTTTTACTCATCTGTTACATAAACTTAAGTAATTATATTCTTAAATTCTTAGTTTCCTTAAATATAAAATTAAAAAAATAATTTCTTATATGCAGTCATGTGCACATGAAGTGAGTTAATGCTTTATACAATTCTTCTTACAGGTTTCACTGGATAATGAGTTCCTAAGACATGATTGATTGTTAATATTAATAGGAATTTTGCTTAAATGTTTGGAGTAGCAATCTCCTTTCTTGACCGTACTTCAAAATATTTAATTTGTGGAATTATTAAAAAACATTTGTTACTAATACTATTAATGTACAAATCAAAAACAAATGTTAGCACATAATTAAATACATAGAAAAAGGCAGCTTTTTCTACAACAATGCATGGGGGCATTATTTCCTATTTCCTAAAGAAAACTATCATAAGTGAGCAAAATAGAAAAACTGCCTGCTATTCCACAGTGGAGACACATATCTACTGAGTCTATCTTTACTTGTATTTCAGGTCAAAACTAAACTGCAGCACCATAAATGAATAAAACATTAGTTGTGGAGAAAAAAACATAACTGTACTAATTCCTTCATATAGCAGAGAATCATAAATTAATTCATTTCAAAAAATCAAAACACCTAAAAGATGCAACAATGTCTTCTCCTGCAATATTTTGTTCACAAAGTCTCAGAGATCCTTTTAGGATGAAGTATATTTTGAAGACACTATATTTGAAATTTTCCTGCCTTTTTCTAAATAAAATATAAAAATAAGTTTTATACTTTTTAATTGAGAGTTCATTTTAAGAAACTTTCTTTCCAACTATTAACTGTATGTATATACTAAGTATTTTTATGTCTATATTCATTAAATATTTTATGTATATTTATTTCAGTATATATGTACATTTTATACATATATGTGAATATAGAGATACAGATACAAAGTGTGTATGAGGGTGTAAATATATTGACCTAATAAAATATTTATATAATAACAAACCTATAAGAGATGTTTATGATGATATGAGTTTAGTATTTTTCTTTATATATTATTTTGCTTATTTTATAGTAGGCATGCTAAAAATAATCAAATTTTAAAATATAGATCTTTAACTGCACTTCATCTCCTTTAAATTCTTCAGGGAAAAGCTTACATTTAAGTCTACATTTTCAGTTTAAAAGTATGAAAAATTAAATTGAATGGAGAGTTTAATAAAATTACATACAGAAAAACTCAACTAAGTGGCAATATTTTCATTCACTTATTTTTTTAAATTTTATTTTTAAATTATTTTAAAATAGAATAAAACAAAAGAGAACAAAACAAAACAAATCAGAACAGAACAATGTAAGCCACAGGGCATTTCACAACAAGACAACTGGGTATTAACAGTAGCTACCATAATGTCTCTTTCTTTGAAATAGCTGAGCATACCTTCACACACAATAATATCAAACATAATAGAATAGTATACCACCATTCATGGGAATGAAAGTATTACAAGACATTCAAAACCAAAAAACAGAAAATGAAAAATCGCTTCTATAATATCTCATTTTCCATAAAATTTTGTTTATACTATCACATATATTAAAATCCAATAAGACACCACATGATTGAACCAATGGAAACAGAAGAACAAAATCATGGTAGGACTTCAAAGCAAGATGATATTAAATCATCAATGGCTGCTATAATGTCGTTTTTCTTCAAAAAAAAAAAGCTGTTCATTTATTCTTTAACATGTACTTTCTACATGCCTCTCAGGAGTCTAACACTGATATACAACATAATAAGTATCGGAGAATGAAACAGAAACTTCTAACACCAAAGAATCTATAATTGGTGAGACAAAAAATAATTAAACAGTAGATTTAGTGAAAGTGTTCTGGAAAAGCATTGCTGAAAAATTAATAATTGATCAAAGGGGATAATTAGTAAGGTGGATGTTCTGCAAAAGAATAGGAAAAGGGAATTGCTAAGTTCTTGTACACATAATCTGATGTCATATTACATAAATAGAGCAAAAAAGCTACAAAAGGAAAGAGGAAAATTACGACTTGTAAGGACACTTTATTCTGTGCAAAATAAAAATTCACTGCCAGGTTTAAAATACTGAAGCAATAAAAACAGTTTTACCTTCTAAAGATGTTTACTTGCTAGTATGTTGAGAACAGGACAAGGGACTGAACTTAATAAGATAAGCTAGTTTGTAAATCCTTTAAGTATATATGGAATTGTTTAATAGCCTACTTGATAATTTAAGGTAAGAAAACAGATCTTGAGCCCTACTAGCCATATATGAACCAAATAATCAAATTATTTTGTCTACATCATTATTATTCCTGATTAAATATGTACTTATAGGTAAGAGGAATAAATCTTGCAAACCAAAGGAGACAATACTTAATTGAACAAATACTTACATAAAAAAGGTTAAAGTAGATTTATGCTACTTTTTGTATCTTTTCATTCTATTTTTTTTTTTGTTCCTTTTAAGGTTAATTTGTATACAATATTTTTCATGTAACAAAATATAAAAGCAAGACTAAGCCTTACAGATAAACTTTCTTTTTTATTTTCCTTGAAATGTATATCCAGAAACAGATGACTTTTAGGAGAGTGCAAATCCGTTGAGCTCAGCTTCATTCTCTCTATTGCCTTGTGTGTTGAATATTGAACACAGATCCCTGTACATTGTCCCAGGCTCCTTGACTGTTCCAAAACATTTTGTATTTAAGTGTATTGTTTGGTACTTAAGAAAACTTTTCATGTGGCAGTGCCACATAAAAGGTGGTATAAAAGCTGACCTGGTATTAAAAAGGGCTGATACCCCAAGAAAATTGGAAGTTAAGCATGACCACTTAGTACATTAAATATTTTTTAAGATATTTGTAGAAAAGTGCCTTCTAATGCACACAGTAATAAGAATAGGAAGGAGGAGAGAAAGGAGGAAGAAAGGCAAAGAGAGAGAAGACAGGAAAAGGGAAGAGTACGAGAATGTAATATCCTGTGGGGGAAATACAACTCTTTGGAGTTTTCCACTGTGGCCTGCAGAGGCCTGTTTTTAGAAGGTGTTCATCCTATATGACTTTGACATTGACCTGAGCCCTACAGGTCAACCCTCTTTGGCCCAAAACACATGCAATTTCAATAAAAGGTTTCTTGTATTGTTCATTCACTGATCCTTTATTTCCCTAATTTTATTTATTTAGTTAGATTCATTTATTTATGCTGGAGACAAGGCCTCATGTACACTAGGAAAGTGCTCTTCCATTGACATATATACCAGCCATGATCATCTTACTTCCCTGCACCTGGTCCTTATTAGTCTTGCTTATGCTTCCCAAAAAGAAATGCTTTTTTGGTACTAATCTTTG